CTCTTATGTTGCCATTACTCCATTTCACATCCTCATTTCACCTTCTTTTTAAAACTTCAAAAAAAAAAAAAAAAAAACTATACTAATATCTCAGTTAGCAATGTGTATGAATACCTAATCTCCTCCCTAAACTAATTTTACTTGGTAGTGTCAAGGCATCTACTAAATCTAGAATCAGATGCCACTCATTTGAGAATGTTTAAAAATACATCAGGTGATCTCATTAGCTAAAAAATATCAAACTTAGATCAATCAATAATTCAAGAAAACAACACAGAGAAGCACAAACCCAAAATTTGCTAACCATAACTAACCTAGTTCATAAGACCAAGCAATTCCTAAAAAAATTATTTTTTATTTTTTGTTCAGGCAAAAGGAAAGAAATGAAAAAAACAACCAATTAAAACAAAACAACTTAAGTACAATAAAATTAGTCAGAATTTCATAAATTTAGAAACACACATAAATTATAAGAAACACACATAAATTTATAAGAATAAGGATACATTCTCTAAATCAATGAGCTCTAATAACATGAAAGTAAAAAAAAACCACAAACATCTCTATTACAATGGAACCCACACTCCATTAGGAAAAAAAAAAAAAAAAAAAAAAACCACAAACATCTCTATTACAATGGAACCCACACTCCATTAGGACTATTTAGAAATCCTTCATTTTTGAATTTATAAATACGCACCAAGAGAGAGAGAAAGAAAAGAAGATCGGTTTTTTTTTTTTTTTGAAAACTGATTAGCAGTCCCAATAAAAAAAACAGGAAACAAAATTACACAGATTGTAAGCTCCAATGAACCCAATTTTAAACCCAGATGATGAAACTAAAAATATATCACTGTATTCATGAATGTATGTATTAATGAAATGAAGAAGAACAGAGAGAGAAGGGAAAAAAAATATCAAACCCAAATGCACCAATCAAACCCAAGAATGTTATAAACAACCCTAAAAATGTATGTATTCATGAAATGAAGGAGAAGAACAGAGAGAGAAGGGGAAAAAATATCAAACCCAAATCACACCAATCAAACCCAAATCACACCGATTTGATGATTCACATGCGGCAGATCCATCAGTTTGGGCACAGGAGGGGGAGACAGCGATATTCTTTGAGGATGAAGCGATCGTGAGAAGCACGGGTGATGAAGGATTGGACGAAACCAATGCCAAAAAAACCGAGGAGGTAGATGAAGGAAGCGATGAGGGAGGCGATGGCAGCGAGTTCGGAGAGAGGGACGACGTGGAGAGGGGTGGAGGATCGGATCTGATAGCGCTAACGATGGAGGAGGTAGTAAGCCAGGTATAGAGGGAGAGGTAAGGCAGCTTTTGGGATGAGGAGGGGGATGAGAGAGAATGTGTAGAGCAGATGTGTTTAGCTAGACGTGGGAGAGAGAGCAAGAGTTGTTTGGGTGGGAGATCTGTTGATCTGAACCATTGATATTTTTTTGGAATTAATCTCAGCCATTAAATTAAAATGTATCTCACACACATTTTATACATTTTTGAAAACCCTCCTCCCTTATTATATAGATATATTTTAAATGTGTGAACCAAACATGATTTTTATTTTTATTTAAAAAAAACATTTATGTTTTCTCTGAAGTAAAAACAAGATACCTATTAGTGTTTTATTAGATAGGTTTTTTTTTTTTTGGGGGGGGGGGGGGGGGGTTTTTTTTTGGGTTGCATTAGAGGTGAAGGGTAAGAGGAAGGAGGATTGGGTTTGTGAAGCCTATTTGACCATGTGGTGGCAAATTATTTTTGAATATTAATGCTATATTGCAATAATTTTTTTAATGTAAACTATAGCATATATATAAGTGATGTTATTTGCTCTCGTCTTATTTTTTTAGACCTTTAGTTATCAAAATTGGTTTCTCATTTTTTTTTTTAACACATTTATCATAATCCTAATCATATCTCCCACTTCTTTGGACCCCACCTTTGCCATCCCCAAATTTGGTAGCCACTTCCTAACCACCACCACCACATCTCCTTGCTACCTCCCCACCCCTGACAATCACTTTCCTTCTCAACCATAAAGAGAAAGAGAGTAGGAAGTGGGAGCGTGAGGACGTGGCGAGAAGGGCAAGGATTGGTGAACAAGAGGAGAGGAATGGTAAGGGTAGTCAAAGATAGGATTAAACAAAAGAGGGGCTAAAGTTGTCGGAGGTAGGTGGTGCTTTGGGTAAACATGGCGTAAGGTTAGGGTCTTGGGAGGTTAAGAATAGTGATAAAATTGGTATTTTATGATATAGTGAAATTGTAATGAAAAAAAATGATAGGTTGGTATCTACAAAAGTAGGTAGGGACAAATAATAATACTTTACATATAGTGGAAAATGCATCCTTCTCTGCATGCGTGACGCAGATTCGATTTTTAGGAAGAGCGAAATGCTAGGTCATTCCAGTGACTCTCTATTGAGAACTTGCTTTGTACTCCAATCAAATTTTGGGTTTGTCTGTGGCGTGTGGTTAAGCTCTGCTGGTGCCACGATAGTGGGTCCCTTCCTTTGAGTTAGGTTAAATCAGGCTGACAACCGGTTATCCCAGTGCCTAGGCCCACAGATGAAGGGATGACACCTTAAAACATCGTTTTTTTCTTGCCATTTTATTAAGCAAGGTTGTTTGCTTGGCATATTAGAAGTAGTTTTTTTTTTTTGGCTTATCTTTGTTAGTAATTTTTTTTATATTGCTTGTAATTGGTAATTAAGAAAAAAATTAATTTATTGACTTATTAATTTATTTGAGTCACGTCATTTTTTTATTTTTTCCTCATATTTTAAAAAAAAAAGTCAAAAAATTACTAAAATAACATGTTCTCAAACGAGATATGGATGTTCATTTCTCCCATCCCGCTCTATTCCCACATCCCTTATCTTGCCCTGCATGGTATTTTTGTGCCCCGATGAAAAAGTGGAATGGGAACAAGTTTTACTTTCCCCAGCCCGTTCTACCCAACACCCGTCCCGATTATAGTTATTAAATATATTTATATATATACTATATATGATTTAATTTTTTTATCATAATAAAATTAAAATACTAAAATATTATACTTAATATTAATTTTTACTCATTTATTTTTTATTTTTTATTTTATAATTCTCATTGAATATAAATCATTATTCATAATATATTATATTATTTTTAATTTTTATTAATTTTTTCATTCTTTAACTTGCGATAATATCCTGTTTTCCGCCCAACCACCACCACTCCCAATTTGTCCTGTCCTTAATATGACACGGGAGAGGAACGGATTATTACAAATCTGACCCATGGCCATCAAAGCCTTTTTGCTTTTATTTTTTTTGGATGGACATTGCCAGATTCCGAAAGGTGTTGGGTAGGACTTTCAATATCAAGAATGGGATTGAGGGCTACTTTTATTAGCCATTCAAGTCAAAGAAGGTGCTCTTGTATATTTTTATTTGGTTGATTTTTTTTTTCAAATTAAATTTTGAACTTGAATTTGAGGGGTTTGTGGAGTCCACCACAAATCTCATTTCGATGATTTAAATCGTTAATTTTGTAAGATATTTAGGGCATGTTTGATTGGAAGGATTAAAACATGGGATTAGGATTATTAATCTGTGGGCCCAATCATCCTATGTTTGTTTTGACATTTTGATTTAGGACTATTAATCCAATGGATAATTAATCCAACAAATTTGTAGGATTATTAGTAATGGGGTAGGGGTGGGATAGTTAATACCACACTAATTTAATAGGATTATTAATACCTCACTATTAGTATTGTGAATCAAACATGACCTTAGTGTGTATCATTTATGAAAAACAATTAAGGCCGTTCGATAATTATAACATTTTTATTTTACTGCATGCTTTTTGGAAAATGAACAATAAGTATATTTTTTAAAATAAATCATTCATTTTTTAGAGACAAACAATTTAAAATATAAAAAAAATTACGAATATCGAATCGACTTAATTATTATTATTATTATTATTATTATTATTATTATGTGAATGATATATACAAAAGATCTTACAAAAAATAGTGATTCGAATCATCTAAACAAGACCTATGATAAGTCATTAAGGCCATGTTTGTTTGGGCGGACTGCATTAGTATTCCCATGACTAATAGTCCTAGGATTACGAATCCGTTGGATTATGTATCCTATCTTAACTAATAGTAAAGTTTAAAATAATTAGTCCCTATTTCAATTGTTTAACCAAACATTGGATTAATAATTTTATTGGACTATTAGTCTAATCCCAAGCTCATGTCCACCCAAACAAATATGGCCTAAATTGACAATCAATACTTTGTAGTATTATTATATTTTTAATTTTTATAAAATTAATTTTCAATCATACAAAAAAATGTGTGGCCATGGTGGATCATGGACCAACTCCACTCATCTTTAAATGGCGGATGGGACTCGGATGGCCCAACTCCACAAGAATTAATTCAGTGCAAACCTTTCGTCGGCCCTACTGGTACTTTTTGCATTCATATTGTTGTTAGTATTAGGTTTGGCTTTCTTAATAAAAATTCAAAAGTTAATTTTACCATTTGTTAAATGTTAATTTTGTTATACAAAAAATAATTCAAAAAAATCAAAACGAATAACTTATTTCAACTAAAATACTAAAAAAAATTCCCAAAAAAAAGTTAAAAAGCTTAAAGAAAATTTATTAAAAAGTAAAAAAAAAAATCAATAAATTTATCAAATAACATGATTTACTTTAAGAATTACGTAAGTCAAAAAGTTACAAAAATACCAAATGACATAATTTATTTTAAGTTTAACGTGTTTATTGATTTATATATATATATATATACAGAAATTAGTTGAAGAAACCATAACCTCTAACACTCTCTTTTTAACTAAGAAATATAATTTATTCTATAAATATAAATTTTGATTACAAAATTCGAGGCAACACTGTTACTCATCCGAATTACCAAGTTTATGGCTTGTTTAGAATTTTTCAGAACGAAAATAAAATAAAATAAAATAATAAAATTTAAAAAGTATGAAAAGGGTGAGAGGGAAGAGAAAGACATACATCATAGTAATGTGACTAAATCAAATTAAACTCTTTTTTCAAAATTAGTTGGGTCTCACAGTTCAATAAGGAGGTATATCCAACAAGATGGTGGAGGAGCAATACACAGGTGACATTATTCTCAGTCCCTTCAGCCCACCTGCATGGATCTGCTTCTCCACTGAAGTTCTCCTTCTTTCCCAATGTCTTTCCAATTTGCTTCAAAGCTTCCACTGTAGTAAAATAATAAGATTAATAATAAATAAAAATAATAAAAAGAAAGATACCAATTGCTCTCTCCATAAAGCAAATCATGAAAATAAATCAAAAAGCACATACAGTTTTATTTATTTATTTATTTATTTCATCTTTTCTCGGTAATGTTACATGAAAAAAATAAATAATAATTTAAAAATTAAAACGCGTGGATCAAATTTGAATTTATACCACGCAATCTATATACTTTTATCCGGTTTTTTTTTCATCATACAAAGCATTTCCCCCTTTTTTTAATTATTTATCTATATACATGTATATATACACAGTGAAATGTTAAATTCACACCATTAAGCACAAAAAAATATAAGGAAATGCACACTTTATGGATCATTTTTAGTGTAGTGTATGAAACACACTAAAAATAAATTTTAATAATGCAAAATTTTCTTTCTTTTTTTATTTTTTTTATTTTTATGGGTATATTTTCTGTGTTTTAATTATGTGAATATAGCATATTTTTGATACACATAAACATATATATCATACCTTCATCAGGAGGGAGATGAGTGGCTGCAGAGGCAAAAGTTGCTACGTAAATGAAGAGAAGTGATGTGCAGATATGTGGGGAAAACATGTTGAGAGATGATGATGATAATGATGAGAGGAAATAGAGCTTCTCGTGCATTTGAACATCCATTCTATTGCTGCATTACAAATAGCTGATGAAGAAGGGTTCCTATTGGTTTATCATGAGTGAGAGAGAGAACTTGAAGATGACACATAAGTTGAAATTCACAGCTAATTGTTGGGAAAAAAATGGTTATATGGTGACTTTAATGTGAAATTAAAGTAGGTCCCAACCATTGATTGATGTGAGATTAAATGGGTTTAGATTCTTTATAATAAGATCTTCACACCACAAAAAGAATGATAAAAATTATTAAAAATTGAATGAGAAATTATCTCATAAAGATGGCCTCATGAATGAGATATTAGGAATTGTATATAACTACCAATCACACATTGATTGTAGAGGAAAACTTTGATGGTATTTAAATCTTCAGATTTTGATAAGGATATGAGTCCTTTGAGGCATCTAAATTTTTCAACAGAATAAAGTTATGGATACTTCAAGGATAGACTTGGATCAAAATTGTGGTCCAAGTTGGTTATGGAAAAATTGTCACACGTGTGCACGCGGCCTGCCCAGACCGCACTAGATTGGTGGTCCAACAACCTAATCTTTTTTATGGTTTGAGGCTCCTCCTCTCTCCTCCATGGTGTATAAAAGGAGGCTCATCTTCCTTAGTTGAATACAAAATTTTTGGCTTCCAGAATTATACAATCAGCTTGCCTGCTCTTATAATTTTCTTCCTGTGTGAGAGAGTGCTACCATTGTTAGTTCGCCAAAACTAACAGAAGGTGCTTCTACGTTAGCCAATCTAAACCGTCGTATCTCAAGAAACAGAAATTGACGTACCTCCAGCACGCACGGTGAGGCAACTAATCTGTTTTAAGGAGACTGTGGTATTATACAGATGTAGACGTCCCCGAACGCCCCGGGAGGGACGAACTCCCCCGTTCCGTTCGATATTGGTCTCACTACAGCTCAGGACTCTAAAATTGTCACGGTTCTAAATCTGAACCAAAGAGTCCAAATCTGGCAAATCGTTTTGAGAAAACAGATTTTTGAAAGAAGTGCCAAACATGGACTGCTTTGCCAGATACAGAGTCGCCACCTAAATGTTTTATTTTGGGGAAATTTAGGAAACCCTGACTCGTTTGCCTAAGGCCACGTGTCCGTCATCACCAAAGTTGCCTCGGCTCGGGAACTTGGGTACGATTGGGGAAGGTCACTTCGTGAGCACCCCCGCTCGCCCGATCAAAGATCGGCCTCTACTAACCATGATATCAAGTTTTGAAAACATTGTGTGTTCTTATTCCGGTTATTAGCCTAGATTACTATGTGATGCACACAGCATACAAGTATAGACTGGATCGCCTGAATTGGAACAAAATGTTTCATGTTTGTTTATTTTGAAATGGTTTGATGGTACTACCCGCAAGTAGGCTAAGACGTAGATTTGCCACCCTCGAGTGGGCTTAGAAAAACATGATTTTGCCACTATCTAGTGGGCTTAAAACACACAGTGAATGAATTGTTCCAATCAAAATAACCCAACCTTCACCCACAGGCATTCAGGCAGTTATATCACATAAGCATATAGCCTCATGGTAAGCATACTATTCATGGCAGTCACTCACACGCATGCAAGGATGCTAAAGCATAAAACTTACTGAGTACTCCAAGCCAAAACAGAAGCTAATTAGAAATCCATGCGTGATCCTAACTATACAGAAATGCCTAATGCAACGCATGCAAAAATGCAACTATAGCAGACTCGGCTATTCTAAACATGGCATATGAAATGCTACAGCTAACATGTATTCAACTTGGAATTGAAAATACAATGCAGTTAGTATGATGCGCCGAGCCCGGTGCATGCAAAACAGATGAATGAATGCAAACATGCTATCATACTGTATGCTAATTGAAACATGCCTTAATCTAACCATCATGAGCTGGTAAATAAAAGGGAGAAAGACGTGGGGTTGGAAGACATACATCACACACACGCACACTTATTACAGTTGTGCCCTCGTGCAGAGGGTCCGAATAAATAATATACAGTTCCAAATAATTACAGTCCAAATAATTACAAAATCCTAATTAATTAACAAATTAAACTAGGTAAGCTGTAAACTAGCATGCAAGCTAAGGACTGCCTCGACGCTGCTTCGGATGATGAATGATGCATGCTCGGGTTGCCTTGTGCGGAGAATCCCTTGCGATGCCCCGGTTTGCCTCTGTTTGCAATTGTTCTTGGGATGCGTGCCAAACTCCGGAAGGTTGCTGACTCTTCATTTGCTGTAACAGAGAGCAAGAAAGGGGCATGGCAAAGTATTTTCACATATGTATACATAACTACCCTTTAGGGAGTGCAGTCCTTGATCCTCGTGCCACCAATCACGCATATCGATGCATAATGGACGAGGAGTCGAATTGCACGACTCAATATGAAATGAATTCCCATATAAACATAACAAAACCTAAACTCCATCATGGATAATCCGGAGTGTCGGTGACTGGGAATTGAGACACGTTCCGTCACTCGAAGTACGAAACGTCCCTCGTTTCCCGTGCTCGGGCTAACTCCTATCCCAAACACAATGCAGTATGCATGACATGCATGAATGCAACTAAGATACAACCTAAAATGCACAATGCTATGAAATGGCATGCACGATGCACGAGGTAACATGGCATACACAATGTGCTAACATACAACCTAGCATACACAATACTATGAAATGAAATGACATACACAATGCACAATGGACTTACACTAACATGAGTGGACCTCAGCCACACTCATATTAGTAGCCATACGATGAAAATGAGACACTCGAGATGCGTGCACACATGCACGCAAACCGAGGATCGACCCTAAGGCACCAAATGCCACTCTAACAAGACATGGCAAGGCATGGAATATGGCATACTAGCATGAAAATTTCAGTAGCAAAATATGATGCAAAACAACCCCAGAACATGGAAACATGGCACCCGATACATGGAATGAGACCCAAAACATGAAATTAGGTACATGGAATGACCTATGGCTATGCAAAGCATGCATTATTTGAACATGAAGTGTGAATACAGAATCAAGAAAGTCCCAAAACAAGAATATTTACAGTTTTAAGCAAAGCCAAACAATGGACACAAATAGGACTAAGCTAGCATGCAAAAATGGCCCCGTAAGAGAGGTAATGAAGCAAGTAGCAGCTTCTGGCCCTGAATGGCCAAGAGCCCTTCAACAAAGTTGAAGAGGGGCTCAAAATGAAGCACTTTACAGTTTACAACAAGCCACGGATCTAAATAAAAACAGGCCTAAAACATTATGTAAGAAATGGGCCAAAAGAAAGACAAAGAAGCAAGTGATGGTTGCTGGCCTCAAACAGAGGAGGGCTCTTCAACAAAGTTGAAGAGGGGCCCAAAACATGGTATTTTACAGTTAGTGGCCAAACCCAAAACAGTGCACATGCAAGCTTAAAATACTATGTAAAATAAGGCCTAAAAAGAGGTTTAAACACAAAGAGCAAACAGGGAGCTTCAAAAAACAAAAGTCCCTTGATTAAACATGAAGAGGGAGTCAAAATAAGGCTATTTACAGTTCGAACCAGAGCCTAAAAATACAAGCACAAGGGGCTAACGAAACATGCAAAAATAAGGCCAAAAGAGGGATAAAGAGGCAAGTGACAAAAGGAAGCCTCAAACAGTGAAGAACCCTTCAACAATGTTGAAGAAAGGATCAAAATAAGTCACTTTACAGTTTATAACCAAGCTCAAAACAGTTTACAAATAGGCCTAAAATACTATGCAAGAAAGAGGCATATAAGTGAGGTAAAGAAGCAAGTGGTAGCTAGAGACCTTAAACATAGAAGGACCCTAAAACAAACATGAAAAAGACTTCAAAATAATGCTATTTTCAGTTAGGGTCGGAGTCCAAAAATGCAAGCAAGAGGAGCTAATATATTGAGCAAAATAAGGCAAGAAAGAGGGAGGAGAAGACTTACCCTTGAAGACCAAATCTTTGACAACTCTTGGGCCAAGTTTGGTGGCTCCTTAGCTCTAGAAAACAGCTCCAAGTGGCTGGAATGGATGGTGGTGGTATGGTGCTAGGTGGTAGTGTAGAAATGGTGTAGGGTTTGGGAGGTTTTGAGGGTTGGAGTGTAGAGAGAGAGATACAACGTAGGAGCTCCAAATCAAAATTTATAACCTTTAAAACTAAAGGGGAGGGGCTGGTTTTATAGGAAAAGGAGTGGAGAAAAGGGGGGGAATTTCAAATTCAAGTTTCCCCCCTCAAAAGGCCAAACCCTCGGACATGGGTGAAGTGCAAAACAAAATACATGGCTGGAATGCACTTGGGACAAGGATCATGTCTGGCCAGCTCAAAAGGGCAAAAAAGGCCATTCACCAAATAGGTGACCGGCCTACTAGATTTTCTGGCCGGCCTGCTACTTTTCAGAACAAAAAATGGTTCTACCGGGAAGAAAGGTGGCCAGCCTGTGATTGGGAAGTCCAATGGTGGCCATTCAAGTGTCTGAATTGAAGCCCCGGAAGTTAGCTTTCCAATTGCATAAACCTTGCATTAAAATTCATCCTGTGGAAAAAGTTATGCTAGTTTCCGTGACGTCGCGCAGATTCGGTCCTACCCGGATCCATGCCGAACTTCTCCCAACCTTGTTTTCTTCTCTCCTCTCCTCTTTTCTTCAACTCCAAACCCCTAAACAAGGTGTTTTGAAAGATTTTTCAAAAGATTTCATCTCTCCTTCATTCATTTCGACTTTGTCCTCGCTCGGTTTACCGAAAAGCGCGACATTTAACAAAATGCGAGCGTCGGGACATCGTAGAAACTTTATTTCAAAAACGTTCTTGAAAGAGAGGGTTTCAAGGTCTAAAATATTTTGATCAAGATTGTTTTGGTCCAAAAAGGGGTATGAAGTTGAGATTTGACTCTCTCTCCTTGCCGAAGAAATTGAACCTTTGCCCTGCACATCTTTCAAAACCATCAGTCGCGTCCAAGTCTTAAAGGCGGTCAAAAATGGGGTGTCTACAGTTGCCCCTCTTTGACAGAACTCGGAAGTCAAGAAGTGACGGGAGTGAATGTCAAAGCCTAGAGACGACCCATTTTTGACAAGGCCGAAGACTTTGGACAAACAAACAAAGTACGAACAAATAAATGGTTGCGCTCG